TGTTCAGCTCCTCCAGTGGAAACACGCCAGTAACCGGTTAGCTTTAGCCGTGATGATAAATGGAAACCAGCCGAACTCCAGGTGGATTTACTGATTCCTGCTTACAGTAGCAGCCATTCAAAATGGCCGTTCCCAGTCTAACACCAGTCCAATGGCGGCCCACTTCCCTGCAGCTCCCAGACAAATCCCCTCCAACTTCCCGCCACTGGCTTCCTCCTGGGCATGTTTTCACTTTGACTCCATCCTTTCACTGAATTGAATGGCTGCTACTGTAGTTACATTTATAACCCAGAAATTTGTTCTCAGTTTTAGATTTTACAAAATCTAAAAAAAAAATTATTTATTTTTTTTTATATTTAACTTCTGTGACGCCTTCAAAGTCTGCAGGATGAAACGACCACAACGTTCCACAGAAAAGTTTAGTTTGTAAGAAATTCAGACGAGTATGATTGAGTAGAAAAGCAGAGAGACATCTTATAAATTAATAAGAGAATAAATTAGGAATTAACTTCTGAGATCATTTTAGATTTTTTTGTAATAATATATGATAGTAAAATTTGCTTCATTGTTTGTTGCTGAAACCCTTGGAGCTCCATCATTAAAATCAGAAACATCCTTCTCCAAAAAAAATTAAAAATAAAAAGTCTGAGGTAAGAAGCTGGAGTCCGATCAGAGATCCGTCAAAAGGTTTCAGAGTCTTCTGAGTCGTTCTCAGTAGTTCCCTCGCTGGAAGGTCCCGAGGGGTTCCTGGGGCTGCGTGGTCCCCGCGGGCCGGCGTTCACGCCTTTACCCCCCCGGCGAGGCAGCTGCCTCAGCAGGGAGCCTGGGGAGGGAGCTCCGGAGCTGCAAGGGGAGCAGAAAGGCATCATGGTAGCCAGAATGAGAGCCAGACAGTCAGCCACCTCTCTGCTAGGAGCACAAGCCAGAGCAGGGGTCAGACCTGAGGCAGAGAGACAGAGCAGAGAGGAGGAGGAGACATGGACATGGAGGAAGCAGGGGAGGCGAAGCAGAGGACAAAGATGGAGCAGCATTCCATTAGTTTACAGCCAGCTGACGAATCAAACAACAGAGGAGAACACCGAGGACAGCAAAGACCGACGCATCTAGAAGCAGTCAGAGCTGGAGGAATTATTCAGCCTCCGTCAGAAACGCTGCTGCTGCTGCTGCTGCTGCTGCTTTAGTCCCACTGGTGGAAGAATTGGGCTTATTTCCAGCTTCTGCAGGAAACTCATCTCCTGTGGCTCCAGGAGCAACGACCCGCATCAGCATCAGGCCATGGGGGCTTTTATTCAGCCGGCTCTAGCAGACGGGTCGGACCGTGGGCGGTTCTGCTCGGATAATTCCTTCAGCAGCAGTTCTATGTCACCCGCATCTATAAAGGGACGCGCTGCGTTCAGACATTACTACAGCAATCAGTGAAGGGAAGGACCTGCTCTCTGAGGGAGAACACAAGTACCATGCTAACTGCTAACATTAGATGCTAAAGACAGTTTTAAATGTGCTTTCAATTAAATCTGTCTTTATATTAAATGAGAAAAATCCTGTTTTTATAGTTGTTTTTAAACAACTATATGGATATAAAACAGCTGAAGTGGGGACATAAAGTTTGTTATTATATATATATATATATATATATATAAAATAAAAAAAAGATTTTAAATTGAGAACAAAATTTTAAAACTACTCTTTTTTTACAGCTCAAAATATTTCCAGGTGTTGCATTCAGGAACTGCGGAAACTAGAAACGCCTTTATCATATTCCATATTTTTGTGACTTCCGCTTTACTTGCAGGAAATGTCCATCGGGGGATGAATGCGCAGCTAAGATTTGGATCATCTTCTCTTCCATGAGGTTTGTGTCGTTTGCGGATATAAAAAGCTTCGATTAGTGAAAAGTTTTATTTTCCAAAACCACTAACGAAAGAAAATAAAATATGCTCCGTTTAATTCGAGTTCCCACAGTTCCTGAATGTAACACCTGGTGATGTTTTTCAGATGCATAAGCTGTCATCATTTTACACCCCATGTAATCTAAGCCCCGCCCCCTCAACAGTTTGAAACTGATGCAATATTTGAAAATAAAAATGTAAAAAATTTATCTTAAAAGTAGTTAAAACATTTTTTAGTATAAAACATTTTTTTATTTTAATTTACATTTTCAAATCTGTTTTTTTTTTTACTTTCTAAAAAAAAAAAAATGTTCAGCCAAAATTTATGGCCCCAATGTGGCTCCGTATCGGCAGCGCATTTTCCTATTTGATTATGTTCACGTCTGGAATTGCTGTTATGAGAAAGAAAAACTGTTTCCTATCTGCTGCTGATGTCATTTCAAACTCTCAGGCACCAGAGAGTTCACGATTTAAGGAAGTTTTTAAAACCTTTATTTTATTTACAAGCAGAAAAGATGCGACTAACAGAGCCAGCGGCCATCTTTGATCATCAGATCCATTGTTAACGTTTAAGTTAGCTTTCTTAGTCTGATGTGAACAAAGTAGATTCAGGATTTTTTGGACGGATATTTTTAAATGACTTCCAGCTCTGACCATTAATCACATCAAATAGACAAACAATGAGAAGAGTTCAACAACAGCTCCCACCGTCACATGAAAAGGTTCCTGTTAGAGGAAAATGGCTACGATGAGCCAGATTATTTGTTCCAGATCCGCTGTTAGCTTCAAAAGGATAAAAAACATCCTGCAGAAGAATCGCTTCCATTCTAAAAGGAACAGAAACTTTAAATCCAGTGGGAGCTGCTGTTTTCAGCACCCATCAAAAGCTTTCATGCGGAGCGACGATGAAGGCGGCCTCCTCCTACCGTTCTCATCCACCGTCTGAACGTTGGCTCCTCTGGACAGCAGCTCCTGGACCGCCTTCTTCAGGCCGCTACGCGCCGCCAGGTGCAGCGGCCTGACGGACACAGACAGTTTCACACAGGGGTCACTTCACTGGCAACCGCCGTCCTTCGAAGCTAGTTTCTGCTAAACTACAGACCGCATACAACTAAAATACTTTATTTAGATTTATCCAGATTTTATTTGATAGACCACAATGTGTTCAGACCCCTTTATGACGACAACCCTAAATAAAAAGCCTTTAGATGTCAGCAGGTTAGTTAGTAAATTAAATAGAGTAAGTTTGATAGAATCCAGTTAGAAATCAGGGGCCAACGTGTCGCTCTCACAAACTGATTTTACCGCTGGAACTGGATGCTAACTTTAATTTAGTGGAAAACCAGTGATCGGCGCTAAGGGAGACTTTGTCCTGTTAGCTTAGCTTTTAAACAGAGTGTTTTGCTCCTAGTTGGGATATTAGAACTTGGCTCCTTGAAAGTTATTAACTCCATCTATCATGCTAACTGCTAGCATACCTTAATCCGGCGGTTTTAAAAATGTGAGGCCCCCTAAAGTGCTCTGGCGCCCCCTAGGGGAGACGCGGTGCGAGGGAAAAAATAAACCGATTCAGGACCGTGATAGAAAAACAAAGGGTGTGCATAGCGTGCGTAATTTTTTTTCCCTTTGTATGCCTCCGCTCTTTCTTACAGCACGCTATTTTAGCTCGAGATAAATTGTTTAGATGAGCCACAAAAAGAGCTCCACGATTTTGCAACTGTTTAAATATAAACAAAAAATCAAAAACTTAATTTCAAGGAAATTTACAGATGTGTTCCAAAGATCTGATCAAAATGTTTTTGTTAAGATGTGAAAACACTGTTGGTATCTCAAACATTAAACTCTGAATCTCAGATGTAACGTTTGTTTGAGAAAACAGTTGAAAAGTGAGTTTGGGGTTGTTCTTATCATGATCAAAAATGAAAAAAGGGCGTATTTGCCAAACAAAGGCCCCGATAAAATAATTGAAGAAATGTTTTAAAATGTTCATGTGTTAAATTTCATTCAGATAAAGTGTTATTTTAAAAGATGAGACGGTTCTAAAATAAAAGTAATTACAAGGTGTTTTGTAGTGGCATTTGTTTGTGTGCGGGTTGATTATTTGGGGGGGTGGGCAGCAGGCATAGTGCTCCCTGGAGGGGGGCTCACCCTTTCATACTTTGAAAACCCCTGCTTTAATCTATCCTTTTTCAAGCATTTAGCGCAAATTAATTTCATTCAGTTTATTTCTATAGCGCCAATTCACAACACGTCATCTAAAGGCACTTTACAGAAACTATTTAAATAATGTCCCCCCCCACTTTTACAGTTTTTTACAATTGCCATGACAGATTTTTCAATACTTTTAACAATTTTCCAAAACTCTTCACACAGTGAGCTCTACATCTGCATGTGTAAACTATTCTATTAACACATTTCTTCTTGCTTTAACACATAATACATACAATTAACGCAAATTAAAAATGCTTAAACTCATTTTACACACCAGCTCCAAAAAGACCAAAACAGTAGAATTTTACAGCCATATTTACCAATGCTCTAACACTGTATGTCAGAACAGATAAAACCACGTTCTAAACCTAAACCTTACAGGCTAAATTCAAGGTGAACAACTCTTCATATTTAATTGAAACACAAATATATTCCCTGTATTTTTTTCCATTGCTAATGAGAAACATCTGATTGAAGTTATGCGACTGTTGAAATCAAAGCTGAACTCTGCCAGGGGTGGATACGGTATGCAAAAAGATTCTTCCCACGATGCCTTGGTAGAAACCATATCAGCTGTGATGGGGATGAGGACATGTGGCCAAATGCAGAAGACCGAGTAAAGTGAAAGCTTTTATTCTGGAGTATTTCTAACTGTATATCTTGTAGTAATTTCCTTTTGCAAATAAAGTATTTATACTGAAGCAATTCGGTCTCTGTCTTTTGTTTAATAAAATGTACAATCTATAAAGCTACTTTCTGCAGCAAACGAAACAAAATGCATGTGTAAAACCCAGGTGTGCCTTTGTTCAGTTACTGTCTATTGTATAAGGGCACCTAACACATCTAAAATAATGCAGTTTATGTTATTTCAGCTGATGATGGTGTTTTTTTTTNGCCTTCAAAGTCTGCAGGATGAAACGACCACAACGTTCCACAGAAAAGTTTAGTTTGTAAGAAATTCAGACGAGTATGATTGAGTAGAAAAGCAGAGAGACATCTTATAAATTAATAAGAGAATAAATTAGGAATTAACTTCTGAGATCATTTTAGATTTTTTTGTAATAATATATGATAGTAAAATTTGCTTCATTGTTTGTTGCTGAAACCCTTGGAGCTCCATCATTAAAATCAGAAACATCCTTCTCCAAAAAAAATTAAAAATAAAAAGTCTGAGGTAAGAAGCTGGAGTCCGATCAGAGATCCGTCAAAAGGTTTCAGAGTCTTCTGAGTCGTTCTCAGTAGTTCCCTCGCTGGAAGGTCCCGAGGGGTTCCTGGGGCTGCGTGGTCCCCGCGGGCCGGCGTTCACGCCTTTACCCCCCCGGCGAGGCAGCTGCCTCAGCAGGGAGCCTGGGGAGGGAGCTCCGGAGCTGCAAGGGGAGCAGAAAGGCATCATGGTAGCCAGAATGAGAGCCAGACAGTCAGCCACCTCTCTGCTAGGAGCACAAGCCAGAGCAGGGGTCAGACCTGAGGCAGAGAGACAGAGCAGAGAGGAGGAGGAGACATGGACATGGAGGAAGCAGGGGAGGCGAAGCAGAGGACAAAGATGGAGCAGCATTCCATTAGTTTACAGCCAGCTGACGAATCAAACAACAGAGGAGAACACCGAGGACAGCAAAGACCGACGCATCTAGAAGCAGTCAGAGCTGGAGGAATTATTCAGCCTCCGTCAGAAACGCTGCTGCTGCTGCTGCTGCTGCTGCTTTAGTCCCACTGGTGGAAGAATTGGGCTTATTTCCAGCTTCTGCAGGAAACTCATCTCCTGTGGCTCCAGGAGCAACGACCCGCATCAGCATCAGGCCATGGGGGCTTTTATTCAGCCGGCTCTAGCAGACGGGTCGGACCGTGGGCGGTTCTGCTCGGATAATTCCTTCAGCAGCAGTTCTATGTCACCCGCATCTATAAAGGGACGCGCTGCGTTCAGACATTACTACAGCAATCAGTGAAGGGAAGGACCTGCTCTCTGAGGGAGAACACAAGTACCATGCTAACTGCTAACATTAGATGCTAAAGACAGTTTTAAATGTGCTTTCAATTAAATCTGTCTTTATATTAAATGAGAAAAATCCTGTTTTTATAGTTGTTTTTAAACAACTATATGGATATAAAACAGCTGAAGTGGGGACATAAAGTTTGTTATTATATATATATATATATATATATATAAAATAAAAAAAAGATTTTAAATTGAGAACAAAATTTTAAAACTACTCTTTTTTTACAGCTCAAAATATTTCCAGGTGTTGCATTCAGGAACTGCGGAAACTAGAAACGCCTTTATCATATTCCATATTTTTGTGACTTCCGCTTTACTTGCAGGAAATGTCCATCGGGGGATGAATGCGCAGCTAAGATTTGGATCATCTTCTCTTCCATGAGGTTTGTGTCGTTTGCGGATATAAAAAGCTTCGATTAGTGAAAAGTTTTATTTTCCAAAACCACTAACGAAAGAAAATAAAATATGCTCCGTTTAATTCGAGTTCCCACAGTTCCTGAATGTAACACCTGGTGATGTTTTTCAGATGCATAAGCTGTCATCATTTTACACCCCATGTAATCTAAGCCCCGCCCCCTCAACAGTTTGAAACTGATGCAATATTTGAAAATAAAAATGTAAAAAATTTATCTTAAAAGTAGTTAAAACATTTTTTAGTATAAAACATTTTTTTATTTTAATTTACATTTTCAAATCTGTTTTTTTTTTTACTTTCTAAAAAAAAAAAAATGTTCAGCCAAAATTTATGGCCCCAATGTGGCTCCGTATCGGCAGCGCATTTTCCTATTTGATTATGTTCACGTCTGGAATTGCTGTTATGAGAAAGAAAAACTGTTTCCTATCTGCTGCTGATGTCATTTCAAACTCTCAGGCACCAGAGAGTTCACGATTTAAGGAAGTTTTTAAAACCTTTATTTTATTTACAAGCAGAAAAGATGCGACTAACAGAGCCAGCGGCCATCTTTGATCATCAGATCCATTGTTAACGTTTAAGTTAGCTTTCTTAGTCTGATGTGAACAAAGTAGATTCAGGATTTTTTGGACGGATATTTTTAAATGACTTCCAGCTCTGACCATTAATCACATCAAATAGACAAACAATGAGAAGAGTTCAACAACAGCTCCCACCGTCACATGAAAAGGTTCCTGTTAGAGGAAAATGGCTACGATGAGCCAGATTATTTGTTCCAGATCCGCTGTTAGCTTCAAAAGGATAAAAAACATCCTGCAGAAGAATCGCTTCCATTCTAAAAGGAACAGAAACTTTAAATCCAGTGGGAGCTGCTGTTTTCAGCACCCATCAAAAGCTTTCATGCGGAGCGACGATGAAGGCGGCCTCCTCCTACCGTTCTCATCCACCGTCTGAACGTTGGCTCCTCTGGACAGCAGCTCCTGGACCGCCTTCTTCAGGCCGCTACGCGCCGCCAGGTGCAGCGGCCTGACGGACATAGACAGTTTCACACAGGGGTCACTTCACTGGCAACCGCCGTCCTTCGAAGCTAGTTTCTGCTAAACTACAGACCGCATACAACTAAAATACTTTATTTAGATTTATCCAGATTTTATTTGATAGACCACAATGTGTTCAGACCCCTTTATGACGACAACCCTAAATAAAAAGCCTTTAGATGTCAGCAGGTTAGTTAGTAAATTAAATAGAGTAAGTTTGATAGAATCCAGTTAGAAATCAGGGGCCAACGTGTCGCTCTCACAAACTGATTTTACCGCTGGAACTGGATGCTAACTTTAATTTAGTGGAAAACCAGTGATCGGCGCTAAGGGAGACTTTGTCCTGTTAGCTTAGCTTTTAAACAGAGTGTTTTGCTCCTAGTTGGGATATTAGAACTTGGCTCCTTGAAAGTTATTAACTCCATCTATCATGCTAACTGCTAGCATACCTTAATCCGGCGGTTTTAAAAATGTGAGGCCCCCTAAAGTGCTCTGGCGCCCCCTAGGGGAGACGCGGTGCGAGGGAAAAAATAAACCGATTCAGGACCGTGATAGAAAAACAAAGGGTGTGCATAGCGTGCGTAATTTTTTTTCCCTTTGTATGCCTCCGCTCTTTCTTACAGCACGCTATTTTAGCTCGAGATAAATTGTTTAGATGAGCCACAAAAAGAGCTCCACGATTTTGCAACTGTTTAAATATAAACAAAAAATCAAAAACTTAATTTCAAGGAAATTTACAGATGTGTTCCAAAGATCTGATCAAAATGTTTTTGTTAAGATGTGAAAACACTGTTGGTATCTCAAACATTAAACTCTGAATCTCAGATGTAACGTTTGTTTGAGAAAACAGTTGAAAAGTGAGTTTGGGGTTGTTCTTATCATGATCAAAAATGAAAAAAGGGCGTATTTGCCAAACAAAGGCCCCGATAAAATAATTGAAGAAATGTTTTAAAATGTTCATGTGTTAAATTTCATTCAGATAAAGTGTTATTTTAAAAGATGAGACGGTTCTAAAATAAAAGTAATTACAAGGTGTTTTGTAGTGGCATTTGTTTGTGTGCGGGTTGATTATTTGGGGGGGTGGGCAGCAGGCATAGTGCTCCCTGGAGGGGGGCTCACCCTTTCATACTTTGAAAACCCCTGCTTTAATCTATCCTTTTTCAAGCATTTAGCGCAAATTAATTTCATTCAGTTTATTTCTATAGCGCCAATTCACAACACGTCATCTAAAGGCACTTTACAGAAACTATTTAAATAATGTCCCCCCCCACTTTTACAGTTTTTTACAATTGCCATGACAGATTTTTCAATACTTTTAACAATTTTCCAAAACTCTTCACACAGTGAGCTCTACATCTGCATGTGTAAACTATTCTATTAACACATTTCTTCTTGCTTTAACACATAATACATACAATTAACGCAAATTAAAAATGCTTAAACTCATTTTACACACCAGCTCCAAAAAGACCAAAACAGTAGAATTTTACAGCCATATTTACCAATGCTCTAACACTGTATGTCAGAACAGATAAAACCACGTTCTAAACCTAAACCTTACAGGCTAAATTCAAGGTGAACAACTCTTCATATTTAATTGAAACACAAATATATTCCCTGTATTTTTTTCCATTGCTAATGAGAAACATCTGATTGAAGTTATGCGACTGTTGAAATCAAAGCTGAACTCTGCCAGGGGTGGATACGGTATGCAAAAAGATTCTTCCCACGATGCCTTGGTAGAAACCATATCAGCTGTGATGGGGATGAGGACATGTGGCCAAATGCAGAAGACCGAGTAAAGTGAAAGCTTTTATTCTGGAGTATTTCTAACTGTATATCTTGTAGTAATTTCCTTTTGCAAATAAAGTATTTATACTGAAGCAATTCGGTCTCTGTCTTTTGTTTAATAAAATGTACAATCTATAAAGCTACTTTCTGCAGCAAACGAAACAAAATGCATGTGTAAAACCCAGGTGTGCCTTTGTTCAGTTACTGTCTATTGTATAAGGGCACCTAACACATCTAAAATAATGCAGTTTATGTTATTTCAGCTGATGATGGTGTTTTTTTTTGTCATTGTGTTATGATTGACTAAATGCTCCTGATAGAAGAGAACACGCGTTAGTGTTTTGATTAATTATCTGATTTTTTGAAACATGTTGCAGTGTTTTGTTAGACATGATGTGTCGTGTTAGTGTATTATTTTATTTTGAAATTTAGTTTTGGAGTTTAGTTTGCATTGTGTGAATTTGAACATGAAATTAATGTTTTGCCAATCGTGTGTTTTAGGTGTGTTGGTGCGTTAAGAGTTAAGGAAACCTGTTAAACGTAGTGAAAACTGTGTCTTAGCGATTGTAAAAAACTGTAATAATCCTGCTGCTCCTCCATAGAGCGGCTAAATGGGCCCATTTAGGAGAACTGAAGGAGTTTTTCCAGAGTTTAGATTCACTAACAGAACCACAGGAAGTTCATCCTGGATCCTTGGATCCATCAAACGGTGGAAATAATCCGGAACGAACTCTGGATCCATTCATGTTTCTGCTTTCCAAAGAGCAGTGAGGCTCTAATTAAAGGTGAACTTTGGCGCCCTCTAGTGAATGTTGCCAACATTACAACACTGAAAGAAATTCAAATGATCAGTTTATCAGATGGATCAAATTTTTATCGGATATACTTTTAATCGACGATGATCCGTCGATTATTTGATCACAAAAAGCAACTAATGCTGATAAATTAAGCTTCATTTCATCTTTCAGAAACTCACGTTTGCAGAGCGGCGTTTGTGGCATTGATGAGCGTCGCGTCGGACAGCTTCTCTATGATCAGCAACACACAGTCTTCTTTCCCCTAAAACGAGAGGAGGTCACAGCTCTGATGAAATACAATAATATCACTTTAGCTAAGCTCAGAGTGTGAATCAAAGCAAGTAAAGCTCCCAAACTAAAAATTGGAAATACAATTGTTTGTATTTGAGTGACAGAAAGGCATTGAGAAATATTTTCCAGGTGGAACCGCTATTTTAAATGTCACCATGTCTAAATTTATAGGGGATTAAACAAAGAAAAAATGAAAGATATTTAGCCTCACCAAATTTATTTTTCCAAAGTAAACACTGTGAAACACCATGAAAGCCCGTTTGAAACTCTGGATGAACAATCACACTTTATAGATCCACATCTTGACTATAACTCAAGCAAATTTGGACTGAATAAGTTGAAGAATGTTTGTTCCACAGAAGTTTTAGTGGGCAGGATGCAAGGAGGAAGCTAATGTAACACATGCCGGTAACATCACCTGGAATGGTCACACAATGACCTCCGACCCCTCAATGGAAAGGTCTGAGCCTCTAGTTTCCAATGATGGCGGCCATTAGGGGGTGGGGCTAA